AGATCTTTCCTCCTCTGCTTCAATACTCCAGTGAATGTGAGTTGTCCTGATTATCCAAACTTACTATTAGGAAAGAACCACGTACGTCATTTACACTAGAGGTCGTGGTAATGAACATCAGGAAATAGTATCTCTTGGTATGCTTTCTCACTAACGAGATTTGAAACAATCTCTCTTTGTCCCTAATTCTAATTTACAAAATGGGGACTGTGATTAGATGGATGGTTTTTACAGCTCACTGTAGATCAGAATTGAAAAAGGATTGAAAAGTGTCTCTATTTTAAAAATATCTCTTACTAAGTGTTTACTAAGTGCTTGGTAAGCTTAGTGCTTGCTATGCTTGTTAGATTCTTATGAAGCCAGCCCAGTGGTCCTCAATCTTGCTGTACATTACACTCAACTCAGAAGTTTTACAGACACTGATACCTCAGTCAAACCCTTAGAGATTCTAATTTCATTGGGCTAAGATATAATCTGGGCATGAGGATTTTTTTAAAGTTACACATGATTCTACTGTACAGCTGCTGAGCTAGTCTGAACTTAATCATCTGATTTGTGTTTGCAAATGGGTTTGGAAGAATTTCAACATATTTTCTTTTCCCCATTATGAAGAGTCCAGAACTTTATATTATTAACCCAATATAATATAGAAGAATATGGTAATTGGGTTATTATAACCATATTTATCCAAGGTTATGTTCAAATTACTGTTTCTTTAGAGTATACCAAACTTATCTAAATGATTTTGAGAGTGCTGTATTACTGCTCAAGGCCTTAATAAATTGTTTGTAAAATATTTGAAGCGTAACACAAACTAATGTAAGTCAAGATGTTCTCATAGAAATCAAAATGTACATGTGGCATGTTGAATAACTGTATTTTTAGATCACTTCAAGTAAAGTCCTGAGACCATGTTGAAGAGCAGTGTCTGTCGCTGGTTGTTTAAAACTAAATTGAATTAGAAGACCTGGATTTGGCATTAGAGGCTGGAAGATTCAATGATTAATCCATCAAAAAACTAATTTATATCCTACATTGGTGTAAAAAAGGTACCATACTCTTGGCTTTGGCAGATGCCAAACTGAAGAAAATATAATCTTTGACTTTGGGTAATTTGTAATCTTAAATAAAACTTAAACAGAGAACAGGATAATAAGTGCCAGTTTGTAACTGCTATAGGAATTCAGAACAGCAAAGCTGATAGGTAGACAAGGGGTAATTAGAGTGGCTTTCAAAGTGAGACCTGTAGGCTACTTGCACAAGAATACTTTATACATGGTAGGATGAATACATGGCAACACCTTATACCATGGATTCCTGGCATTCTCATCCAGGACTACTCAATTAGTCTCTGGGACAGGGAATGGAAATCTGCCTTTTAAACAGATTCTTCAAGTATTTATTATATATACTCAGCTTGAGTACAATAGATTTAGCAGGTATATGAGCCAGGCCTTAAAAGATGGTTTGGAGCTATGTAATTATGATAGCAGTTAACATTTGTTAAATCCTAGATACTTTCTAATATTATACATGTATTACATCATTTAATCCCCATAAAAATGTTAGGCATTTTATTTTTCATTATAGACCCAGAGGGTACATGTGCAGATTTTACAGGTTTGTTACCTGGATGTATTGTGTGATGCTGGGGTTTGGGTTTCTGGTGAACCCATCACCCAAATAGTGAACACAGTGCCCAATAGATAGATAGTTTTTCAACCCTCACCCAACTTTCTCTCTCCCCACTTTTGGAATCTCCAGTGTTTATTATTCTCATCTTTATGTCCATATGTATCCATTGTTTAGCTCCCACTTATAAATGAGAACACACAGTATTTGATCTTCTGTATCTGGGTTATTTCACTTAGGATAATGGCCTCCAGATCCATTCAAGTTGCTGCAAAAGATATGATTCCCTTCATTTTTATGGCTGTGTAGTATTCCACATGTATATATACCACATATTCTTTGCCTGATTCACTGCTGATGGGCACCTAGGTTGATTCCATGTCTCTGCTGTTGTGAATAGTTCTGCAATAAACATATGAGTGCAGGAGTATTTTTGATGACAATTATTTCTTTTCCTTTAGGAAGATACCCAGTAGTGGGATTGCTGGGTTGAATAGTTGTTCTATTCTAAGTTCTCTGAGAAACTTCCATGCTGTTTTCCATAGGGGTTGAACTATAAATAGTTTACATTCCCATCCACAGTGTATACGTGTTTCTTTTTCTACGTATCCTCGCCAACATCTGTTGTGTTTTTGACTTTTTGCTAATAGCCATTCTTACTGGTGTGAGGTGGTATCTCACTGTGGTTTTAATTTCCATTTCTCTGATGAATATTCATGATGAGCCCTTTTTCATATGTTTGTTGGTGTTTCTATGTCTTCTTTTGAGCAGTGTCTGTTCATATCTGTTGCACACTTTTTAGTGGGTTATTTGGTTTTTGCTTATTTATTTGTTTAAGTTTCTTATAGATTCTGGATATGAGTCCTTTGTCAGATGCATAGTTTGTGAATATTCTCTTCTATTATACAGGTTGTCTCTTTATTGATTATTTCTTTTGTTGTGCATCACCTCTTTAATTAAATCCCATTTGTCTATTTTGGTTTTTCTTGCATTTACTTTTGAGGTCTTAGAAGAGTTTTTCCTAGATTTTCTTCTAGAATTTTTATAGTTTGAGGTCTTACATTTAAGTCTTTAATCCATCTTGAGTCAATTTTTGTAGATAGGGACCCAGTTTCATTCTTAGGCATATGGTCAGCCAGTTTTCCCAGCAATATTTATCGAATAAGGTATATTTTCCCCTTGGTATATTTGTGTAGACATTGCTGAAGACCAGTTGGTTTTAGGTGTATGGCTTTTTTTCTCAGTTCTCTGTTCTATTTCATTGATCTGTATGTCCATTTTTGTACCAGTACTATGCTATTTTGGTTACTATAGCCTTTCAGTATAGTTTGAAGTTGAGCAATATGATGCCTTTGGCTTTATTCTTTTTGTTTAAGATTGCTGTAATAGTCCGTTCTCATATTGCTATAAAGAAATACCCGAGACTGGATAATTTACAAAGAACAGAAGTTTAATTGACTCAGAGTTCTACATAGCTGGGGAGGCCTCAGGAAAGATAATCATGGTGGAAGGTGCCTCTTCACGGGGCAGCAGAAGAGAGGATGAGTGCCAACAGGGGAAATGCGAGACACTTATAAAACCATCAGATCTGGTGAGAACTCATTCACTATCACAAGAACAGCATGGGGGATACTGCCCCCATGATTCAGTTACCTCCCGCTGGGTCCTTCCCACAACATGTGGGGATTATGGGCATTACAATTCAAGATGAGATTTGGGTGAGGACACAGCCAAACCATATTAATTGCTTTGGCTATTCAGGTTCTCTTTTTGTTCCATATGAATTTTAGAATAGCGTTTTCTAATTGTGTCAAAAATAACATTGCTAATTTGATAGGAATTGCATGAATCTTACATTACTTTGGGCAGTGTAGTTATTTTAATGATATTGATTCTTCCTGTCTATAAGCATAGGATTTTTTTTTTCACTTGTTTGTATCATTTACAATTTCTGTCATCAATGTTTTATAGTTCTTCTTATAGAGGTCTTTAATATCCTTGGTTAGATATATTCCTAGGTATTTTTTGGAAGGGGTTTGAGTTCTTGATTTGGTTCTCAGCTGTAGCTGTTAGTGTATAAAAATGCAACTTGTTTTTTGCACTGATTTTGTATCTTGAAATTTCATTAAAGTCATTTATCAGGGTAGGAGTTTTTTTGTGAGAATCTTTAGGATTTTCTAGGTTTAGGATCATGTCATTAGTGAGCAAAGATCATTTGACTTCCTCTTTTCCTTTTTGGAAGGCTTTATTTCTTTCTTTTGCCTGATTTATCTGGCTAGGACTCCCAGTACTATGTTGCATAGGAGTGGTGACAGTGGACATCCCTTTTCTTGTTCCACTTCTTAGGGGGAAATGCTTTCAATTTTTCCCCATTCAATATGATGTTGGCTGTGTGTTTGTCATATATGGTTCTTATATTTTGAGATATATTCTTTCAGTGCCTTGTTTGTTGAGGGTTTTTATCTTGAAGGAATGTTGGATTTTACTGAATATTGTTTTTTTCTGCATCTATTGAGATAATCAATAGATGCTGCTATTCTGTTTGGAGGGGTTGAATAAACAGAATTCTGCCATCTGGAAACACGATATGAACAGCTTTAATACAATTATAGTAGAATCAGGAGAGTGGCCCAAATATAAACACCAAACCAATACAATTTAATGATCAATATTTCCTCTTTTCTTGAGGCTAGAATCAGGTAAACTTATGGTAAGGAAAGTGAAGTTTTTCTTTAGATGGTGGAAAATACATATGTTGGAGACATTTTAGGCTTTAACAAATGTTGTATTCATTGGGCATTCTGGAAGTCATCATGGGAAACAATGATGCAAGTTGTGCAAACAGACCAGAAGCAGAGGCCTGAAGATGGCTAGTGGGTAGAGTGGCAGCTAGTGGCAGCAGAAAAGAAGCTCAGACAGTCCCAGGCTAGATCAACACTGCTTTCTACATGTTAGGACTGGCAACATAAATCATATCTGAACAGGCAAATGCACCAAAGGGGTGGGATAGAGCCAACAAGCCTTGGTAATGAAGTGAGCATATTAAAACTTTTAACTCACTGGTTTGCAAGGACCCTTCTTCCTTTTTGGGTATTATAGTTGACCTCTCAAATAAACCCTTTAAGTATTCAAGAAAAGGTTATTATAAAGTCCATGTGAAACATGGGTACATCAAAACAGAAATTTGTTGGCTAAAGTGACATTTAGCATTGCTCTTGGTTTTATACAGTCAGGACCCAAAAGTAGGGATTATCTGTAGTTGTGAATGTTGAATGTTTTTGTTTAGGACCTAATGTCAACAATAAAATTATTTGTTTAGAATGACTAAACCAATGAACACTGTGGTAAGACTTGATCTTTTTGCATAGATTTTAATCAACCTGTGGAAAGGATGATTTATCGTATACTCTAAGAAAACAGCCTAGTGACCACTCACCATCCACATTTCATTTGAACTGAGCTGCTCCTTCCTCTTTTTCATCTACAATTGGGAGAACTTCAATAAACTCCAGGCATCTGAATTCATCCTACTGTATGCTGAAGCTGTGAGTGCTTGAGTTTCCTGATTATAAACATTTATGTTGAATGATTACTAGATAAATGACGCAATACAGTTTGTCTTAGTCAATGTACATTTTACTAATTTTATAAAATAATTTTAAAGTTTCATAGAATTATTAAGGATCTGAAAGAGTCACTTAATTTGTTTGTATAATACTCTATTGTATTTTAAGAGAAAAAATAAATGACTCAGATGTTATTCATAAATTGAGAATTCCCCAGTATCTCAGGGACACATCATATGAGATTATCAAGTGTTTAGTGTCTATAGGTTTTATTACCTAGTACCTTAAAATCATTGTATAAAACATACTACAAATATTTTAATACGGGGTTCTTTTTTTAGAATCTTAATTTGAATTGTATTACAAAGGAAACACATACTCTGTAGAAAATGCTTACAAGTAAAACAAATCTCAAAGACAATTACTTCTTAAAATTTTAAATGTATCATTTCAGATATAAAATATTTTAATAGACAACTGAATCACTCCATGGGTGCCTACTATTTTTAACACAGACTTTTTCATTTAATAGTATGTCATGAATATACTTTCATATCTAAAAATAGTTACTACATGTTAATGGCTAACATCTCCTTTTATGTTTACACTAAGATTTATTTAAGCAATCCTCTATTTTAGGGTGTTTAAATTATTAAATATATCATTAACTTCCTTTGGCTGAATGATTAGAACTGGGAATGATGAATCAGGGAAAATTCATTTTCAATTCTTTTAAGGTATATAAGTCAAAAATGACTCCTGGAGAATGATGTAATTTACACTCACTTCACAAATACAGAAGTATCAATTTGATGAAAAGGGGTAGTCCTTGTTTCATTTATATTTCTTCCATTACCTGTAAGTTCTATCTTTTTTCCGTGTGTCTGTTTTTAACATAATGCCTATCCATATCTTTGCCCTTTTGTCTTTTAGTCGGCTTATAATTTGTATTTTCTAGAATTCATTAACTATAGCAAATTTTTTTGGGCCCTGCATCATGCACTCTTGACCTGCCTCTAATTTCAGTCATAGCTGTGGATGACAATCCTGTTCAAGGTCAAATTCTCATCAGCATGCATGTCATATCTTTCTGCCTTCCATTTCTGGGCATTCTCCAAAGTCTTGCAGTCTACTTGGTTAGAAGGAGGTAATACTCAAGCAATGAGGGATTGGAAGCCGTGGATCACAGCCCCAGCACACCTACACTGGATGCTTCATCCTGGGAAACATGTTGTGTGCTTCTCAGAGGTCTCAGTGGCTCCTGTGGCCTTCAACGGTGACTTTGTTCAATAAGTGTATTAGTTTCCTCTTGCTGCTATAATACATTGATACAAATTTAGTGGTTTAAAACAATCTTAAAAATCCATCTAATAGTTCTGTAGGTCAGAAGTGCAAAATGGGTCTCACTAACCTAAAATAATAGTGTTGGCAGGCCTTCATACCTTTTTGGAGGCTCTAGGGGAGAATCTATTTCCTTGCTCTTATTATTATTATTATTATTTTTATGTTCTAGAAGCTGACTACATTCTTTGGCATATGGCTGCTAACTCCATGTTGGGATTTGTGTATCACTTGCTGACTGAGTACCTTGAAAAAGGTGAACGTTATTGATTTTATAAGATTGAGTCATGTTCTGCCTTTCACAGTACAGTAGTAGGCTTAGTCTGTGGAAGATTCAAGTCTGTAACAAAGCTGGGTATGCTGGAGTAGAGGGAGAGAAAGAACATCTTTGGAGTTAAAGATAAATTTAAAGTCTAGTTCTTGGACTCACTTTCACGTGTTCTTAGATAATGTGCTTCACTTCTCTGAACCTCAATTTTCTCATCTGGTAATTGGGGATGTAAATAACATATTTCATAGTAAAGGAGTAATTAGGAAAATCATGAAATAGCATTTATAGTAAAGCATCTGTCATGGGCTTGATGAATAGTTGCCATTTTAGAACACTACTCCAGCAATTCTCCCCCTACTTCTGGCACTGTAAACTTTTCTCTCCCTACTGCCTCATTTAAAGCAGCATAAAAATTGGCAGTATTTCTTCTATCTATAAAAAGGCTCTAACTTAAGCCCACTCTCCCCTTAAGATAACACTCATTTCTCCACCCCTTTTTAAATTCACGGTAACATTCTCCAAAGAGTAGCCCATACTCTGTTTCCAGTTGTTCTTCCTCCCTCTTTGGGTCTCGATTTCTCCCTAAACTATAATTTATACGCCATAACATTTACTAATTTTTCAACTACAACTCAATGATTTTAATGAATACTTGCTCCTGAAGGGATGCTGTTGAATGGTGTAGAGGACACTTTTCTTGGTCCGCTCACATCACCTTGGATCCCTTTTAGCTTATCTCTTAACCTGCCCTCCAGCTTTGGTGAGGCTTTGCTGCTAACAGAGGGCATCTGCAACCATGACAGAGTCATTCCAGGGTACTGGAAACATCTTGATTCTCTGGAGAGCAGGAAGTACCTGAGGCTTCATGTTACCACCCCAACCCTGAAACCCAGACCGTAAAGGCCAATGGCTAGCTGCTGTGGGAGGACAAAAGCCTGGCTTCTTCATCTCAAGTCAGGAATAACTCTGAGGTATGATTTATATTCCAGAGCTCCCCAGGGGATGAGGCTGAGACTGAGACACATGTAGCTTCTTTCCCTTTATTATTCTGATCCCCTTGCTCCTTAAATGCTTTTTTTTTCTGGGGATGCTTCTTAATAAATCACTTCTACTTAACCCCTTGGCTCTGAGTCTGCTTCTGGAAGAACCTGACCTCCCCAGATGACCCAGTGTCAGAACTGGTCACCCCCACAAGCAGAATTTATGTTATATGCATGGAGGGAGCAGACAGGCATCACAAAAGTCTAAAACAATGTGGCATCCTGTAGTGGGAGATACTTAGGGGAGATAGAGAAGACCAGGGTCTCAGATGAGCAATGTGAAGAGGTCCTCTGAACAGTGATTCAAGCGGACAGCACTCTGGCCTTACACATCATCTAGTTTCATCATCTCTTCCTAGACCTAGCTTTCTGTCTCTGAGACCAGGCTTTGTTAGTACATGCTTAGGTCACTGATGTAACTTGCTGCCCTTATAAGTCTAGTAACAACCTGTATTTGTATTTGGGCCTTCTCCAAGGTCCATATTTTGTGACTGTGAGGAACTGAGAAGGAGACCTATAGGACTTATTTCCCAGTCCTGATAGGATAAAGTAAAGAAACTGGCAGGAATCAGCAGATGGCAACCAAAACTACCCTGGCTACCCTCACTGCTCATCAGCATGAGACACTGTCACCAGCGCCATGACAGTTTACAAATGTCATGGAAACAACCCGGAAGTTACCACCTCTTTCCTAAGAAGTTCTAAACAACCTGCCCTTCGGTTTGCATTAACTCCACCCCTTAATTTGCCTGTAATTGAAAGGGGTATATTATACAATTGCCAAGAGCCCATAGGCTGTCGACTCTGGGCACACTGCTTATGAGCTATACCAGTCAGTAAAAAATTGCTGTCTAACAACATTGGCTCACACTTGAATTCTTTCTTCAGCGAAGCCAAGAACCCATCTGGGCTAACCCCCAATTTGGGGGCTTACTTCTTCCTGCTTTGGAACCTCCTTGGAGTTCCTAGATCCCTTCTTTAAAGTCTTTTTCCCTCCTCAAGATCTGTATTCCCTGACCTTGGCCATAAGAGTTACCTAGTTTCAGATAATGCGAGTTATCTGTAAGACCTTGAGTTCAACTTTATATTACATAAGACAATACACACAATGGCAGAAGAAGAGGACTTGCTGGAGAAAGAACAAACAAATATCCACATAGCAGGTTGGGCCCTGTCCATCTCAATAAGTCACAGAGTGTCTTGATTTTTGACTCAGTCACAGTCAGGCAGGCCTGAAGTAGGTCTAGTAGGTTCTGTTTCATGTGGTAGTGTGAAAGGAAAATAAATCTTGGGACAGAAAAATCACGAAGCCAGGGGAAAAGACAGGCTTGGCATAATGTTAGGCAAACTGGCGACCCATTTTATTCCTAAATAAGATAGCTACAAAGATAAAGAGCTACTTGCCTTCCTCATGATTTACCCACAAAGAAACTCCTTGTGGACGAAGTATAGACAGAACTCAAAGTCATGCCTCTAAGGCTCACCTGAGACAAATCCATATCTAATTGTTTCCTCTGCCCTATTGTTTATGTAAAGTTCAGATTCACTGAGCCAGACTAAATTGTGTATTCAGTGGAGGGCTCATTAAGAACTCAAAAGAATGCAACTTTGTGTTTCTTATCTACTTATGACCTGGAAGCCCCCTGCTTCAAGTTGTCCTGCCCTACCAGAGTGAACCAAAGTACATCTTACACATATTAATTGATATCTCATGTCTCCCTAAAATGTATGAAAGCAAACTCTAGCCCGGCCACCTTGGGCACATGTTATCAGGACCTGCTGAGGCTGTGTTATGAGCATGTCCTTAACCTTTGCAAAATAAGCTTTCTAAATTGATTGAGATCTGTTTCAGATATCTTTGGGTTTACAGTAGAAAAACATATGTCTTTAAAACATTGCCAATTAATTTGAATGGGTAAGTATCTAAGGATTTGAAAGTCAGTTTTGTGGAATACTTACGCGTGGACATTAATTATATTTTGATTTTTACTATTTTCTGTGTGTTGAGTTGTACCCAACAGTGTATTTGCTGGAGTTGACCCTTTAGGAACTTATAATTTTTTATTATCTGCACTGTGCTGTTTGCATTTGATAATTACTCATTACATGCTTATTATTAGTCTGGCTGTGTCAAAGTATCATCTTGTGTTCATAAGGAGTTGACCTTCAGAGGCAGGGTCCTGTCTAATGATTCTCTGACTTGTAGTTAATAACCATTTGTAATAACTTATCAGCAATATTTTCAATTAATGCCCAATCCTTGTTATCTTAATTTGTGCCCTCTTCCTTTTTAGTAAAATCTCTCATTTGTAATAAATTATTTCGAT